GGGATATGCAGTCCGCCACAAGCCTTGCCATTTGTCGTTTATTAGCACTTGCCACGAACTGTTCAAATATTCCCGTGGTCATAGGCACTGCGAACTCTGCAATGTTTGTCGACGGTGCTTTGCTGGCGAGGACGCAAGGGAAATTGTGTCGAATTTCATGACATCTAAAGGTGTTGATATTTTTGCAGTCTAGCAACAAGTGTGTCGGTGCCTCACAGACACTTCGACCTGCGTCGTTGTTGCACATCCGCATAGTGAGATCGACCTCCCTGCTAGCGTTCGTGGCTTGCTCATTGTGCGCCTCGTTGGTTTCTACGGGGTTCGGCGTTACAGACAATTGTCCAGATGTCAAGCGACCTCTGGTGTGCTGAAGAGAACATACAATATCGGCGCAGCTGTTCAGCAGAGTCCGTACGTTCCCATTAAGGCCATCGCATCCCGTATGTGCGCCGTCGGTCTGCGGCCGATGGTTGAGAATGTAGTGCTCTACGGTCTCCGTGCAATGACGGATGCAGTCCTCGGCAAAAGACAAAAGATCTACAAGACTTTTCGACCACGCTGTCAGCGGACCTCTGTCCAGTTCCTGACTATCGTAAGACCCCCACCCTTCCCTGACCACACATTTGTCAACAGAGGAACAACATGTGACATCCCATTCACAAGCKTTTTGTRYTGTGYCACGGAACGAATTGTCGATGAGACTAAGYAKATTTTTTCGATAGCATTTGAGATTCGCAATCATACTTTGGTAATCCTCTAACGTGCAATTTTTTGAGTCCGCCATTTTTTTAAATTGTTCGGTCATGCCTTCCCTCAGATCCGTCACAAGAGACTTCGGATCGGACAGCAACAACCAGAATATGCTATACTGCATACTTTCCGCAGTTTCTGTCATTTCCGCGAGTGCAAGTTCCACACGACCTGTCTCATCTCGCGCCTGGGTGACCAACTATTTTTGCTCGATCAGTTCAGCTGTCAGTTTATCTATAACTTCTTGCTGCTTTTCTACTATCTCAGCCCAACTCTCATCGATTAAAGTTTGTGTTTCATCTTTGCCTCCCCACGGTGCATATACATCTAGAGATCGATCGCACTCTGTCTCTTCTCCTGCCTTTCGTTTCTCTCCGACTTCCAACATTCTTGATATCTGAAAAGGCGGAAAGAAAGAGATGCACGGAGAGATAGATAGATAGATAAATATACATATACATATATATATATATACTCACACACACACACACAGAGGTTGACTACTGCGTGGCAGAATCGCGTTATTCAGTAACGTTCGACCGTATTATGGCACTCAGTAGTCTACCGAGGAAGTCGCACAGTGAGGCAGTGGTTGAACCCGTTAAAACTTGGGAACACGACCATACTTACAATTAAGCTCACACTTCGGGCATGTATACCTAAGCACCCCCTCGAATACAACACATCCCCACCAAACCCCAAAGCTC